CAGTGGTGCAATCATAGCTCACTGCAGCCTCAGCCTCCCAGGCTCAAGCCATCCTCTCAGCCCAGCCTCCTGAATAGCTGGGCTACAGGTGTCTGCCACCACATCCAGCTAATTAAAAAAAAAAAATTAAGAAGGGGTCACAGTGTGTTGCCCAGGCTGGTCTTAAACTCCTGGGCTCAAGTGATTCTCCAGTGCCCAGCTTAAACATAAGATTTGAATAAGATCCAGTCTCATGATGTCATACTCAATATATCCAAGATACAATTTTTAAAAAATCACTTGTCATACCAGAAAAATCAACTTGAATGGGAAAAACCAATGAACAGACACCAACACTGAGATGACACAGATCTTGGAATTATCTGACAAGGAATTTGAAGCAGTAATGAACATGCTTGAAACAAATGAAAAAAATAGTTTCTCAGCAAAGAAACAGGAGATATAAAGAATAACCAAGGTGTGGTGGTGCATGCCTTTAGTCCCAGCTGCTCAGGAGGCTGAGGTGGCAGGGTCACTTGAGCTCAGGAGTTCAACTCTGCAGTGAACCATGACAGTGCCATTGTACTCCAGCCTGGGTGACAGAGCAAGACAAGATCCCATCTCTTAAAAAGAAAGTAAACAGGCCGGGTGCCGTGGCTCACACCTGTAAACCCAGCACTTTGGGAGGCCAAGGTGGGTGGATCACGAGGTCAGGAGTTCAAGACCAGCCTGGCCAAGATAGTGAAACCCCATTATCTACTAAAAATACAAAAATTAGCCAGGCATGTTGACGGGTGCCTGTAATCCCAGCTACTTGGGAGGCTGAGACAGAGAACTGCTTGAACCCGGGAGGCGGAGGTTGCAGTGGGCCAAGATGGCACCATTGCACTGGGCGATAGAGTGAGACTCCATCTCAAAAACAAACAAACAAACAAAAAAATGGAAATCTTAGAACTGAAAAATACAACTGCAATAAAAAACTCGATGGATTCAATAGCAGAATGGAATGTACAGAGGAAAGAATCTGTAAACCTGAAGATAAAACAATAGAAATTACCCAATCTGGGCCGGGCACAGTGGTTTACGCCTATAATCCCAGCACTTTGGGAGGCCAAGGCAAGAGGATCACAAGGTCAGGAGATCGAGACCATCCTGGCTAACACGGTGAAACCCCATCTCTACTGAAAATACAAAAAAATTAGCCAGGCATGGTGGCGGGTGCCTGTAGTCCCAGCTACTCTGGAGGCTGAGGCAGGAGAATGGCGTGAACCCGGGAGGCAGAGCTTGCAGTGAGCCGAGATCGTGCCACTGCACTCCAGCCTGGGCGACAGATGAAGGCTCCGTCTCAAGACAAAAAGAAAAAAAGAAATTACCCAATCTGAACAACACAGTGGAAAAAAGACACAAACATCAAAATCAGAACTTCAGGATCCTGTGGGACTAAAACAAAAGAATATTCATGTCATTGGAGTTTCAGGAGGAGAAGAGACAAAAGGTGGTGCTGAAAAGTATTCCAATAAATAATGACTAAAATTTTCTCAAAATTGGCAAAATACATAAGCCTATAGATTCAAAGAGCTGAGAGAACCCCAAATAGGAGAAACACAAAGAAATCCACACCAAGACATGTCATAGTCAAACTTCTGTAAATTAATGGCAAAGAAAGAAAATCTTGAAAGCTGCAAGAGACAAATGCCATCTTACCTATAGGGAAAAAAAGCAATTTGAATGACAGCAGATTTCCCATCAGAAACTGTAGTGGTAAGAAGAAAGTGGTATAACATTTTTCAAGTGTTAAAAAAAAAAAAATCCGGCCAGGTGCAGTGGCTCACACCTGTAACCCCAGCACTTTGGGAGGCTGAGGTGCATGGATCACTTGAGGTCAGGAGTTTAAGACTAGCCTGGCTAACATGGTGAAATCCCATCTCTACTAAAAATACAAAAATTAGCCAGGCATGGTAGTGTGTGCCTATAATCCCAGCTACTCAGGAGGCTGAGGCAGGAGAATCACTTGAACCAGGGAGGCAGAGGTTGCAGTGGGCCAAGATCACGCCACTGCACTCCAGCCTGGATGACAGAGCCAGACTCTGTCTCAAAAAAAAAAAAAAAAAAAAAAAAAACCCATTCTATACCAATTCTATATCTAGTGAAACTATACTTCCAGAAAGAAGGAAAAATAAAAACACCCTGAGACAAAGAACAACTAAAAGAATTTGTTTTCAGCAGATTTATCCTACAAGAAAGGCTAAAGGAAGTTCTTGAAACGGAAGGGAAATGACAAAAGAAGAAGTCTTGCAACATTAGAAAGGAAGAAAGGATAATGAAATAAGTAGAACCATGGGTAAACATACATACTTTCCTTCAACCCTTGAGTTTTCTAGGTTTATGTTTGACAGTTGAAGCAAAAAGTATAACATCATCTCATGTGGTTATCAATCTATGTAGAGGAAATATTTAGGAAAACTAAAGGGGTTTGAAGGGAGGTAAAGTTTCTATATTTCACTCAAACTGGTAAAATATTGATACCAATAGATTGTGAAAAGTTATGTATGCATAATACAATACCCAGAGTGCCACTAAAAATCTATACCAAGAGATGTAAATTCAAAAATACTATAGATAAATCAAAATGGAATTCTAAAAATTGGTCAAGTAACCCACAAGAAAGCAGGAATAAAAACCATGAGAAACAAAAAAACAGAAGGAACAGAGAGAAAACAAAAATTAAAATGGTAGACTTAAGCTCTAATATATCAACATTTACTCTAAATATAATGGTCTAAATATGTCAATTAAAAGGCAGAGTAAATAAACATGACCAAACTACATGCAAGGGCATTACGCTGGAGTGGGGGAGAAGGCCAGTCTCAAAAGGTCACATGCTGGATGTTTTCATTTATATAACCACGCCAGTTTCCTATGAAGCACCATAAACTGGAGGGGCTTAGAATGACAGAAATTTATTGTCTCCCTGTTCTGAGGGCTAGAAGTCAGAAATTAAGCTGTTGGCAGGGCCACGTTTCCTCGGAAGGTGCTCGAGAAGGTCCTTCCTTGCCTCTTCCAGCTTCTGGTGGCCCCAGATGTCCCCTGGCATGTGGCAGCATCCACTTTCCACGTGGCGTTCTCCGTGTGTCACTTTGCATAGTCTTCCCTCTATGTGTGTCTGTCTCTGGGTCCAATTTCCCCCTTTTCATAAGGATACCCTAATGACCTCATTTCAACTTGATTACCTCTGCAAAGACCCTCTTTCCAAATAAGACCACATTCTGAGATACTGGGTGTCAGGAGTTCAACATACAATTTTTTGGGGGGGACACAATTCAATCCTTAACAATAACATTTTCAAATTGACAAAAGTATAGAGATAGAGAGCAAATTAGTGGTTAGGGATGGTGGGTATTAGGGGGTTGTTGTGACTATAAAAGGGTAGCGTGAAGGAGATCTTTGTGACAATAGATTATTTCAAGTGCTGTGACAGTTACATACATGTACAATAAAATGTCACAGACCTATATACACATTAGACCAATGTCAATGTGCTGATTTTGATATTGTGCTATAGTTATGAAACACTTAATTACTGAGGAAATTGGGTAAAGGATACATGGGACCTCTCTGTACTGTCTTTGCAACTTTCTGTGAATCTATATTTTAAAGTAAAAGTATGACATATGTATATGGACATACTCACACTAAGACACACAATTAAGCAGTTTCAGAAGACAAAAAGGGCTGGCACTGTGGCTTACACCTGTAATCCTAGCCCTTTGGGAGGCTAAGGCAGGAGGATCACTTGATCCCAGGAGTTCAGGACCAGCCTGGGCAACATGGTAAAACACTGTCTCTACAAAAAATACAAAAATTAGCTGGGTGTGGTGGTGTGCACCTGCAGTCTCAGCTACTAGGGAGGCTGAGGCAGGAGGATCACCTGAGCTCAGGAGGTTGAGGCTGCAGTAAGCTATGATTGTACCACTGCACCCCAGACAGGGCAGTTGAGTGAGACCCTGTCTCAAAAAAAAATTTTTTTAAAGGAGACAAGGCTGGGCGCAGTGGCTGACGCCTGTAATCCCAACACTTCGGGAGGCCAAGGTGGGTGGATCACCTGAGGTCGGGAGTTTGAGACCAGATTGACCAATATGGAGAAACCCTGTCTCTACTAAAAATACAAAATTAGCCGGGTGTGGTGGCACATGCCTGTAATCCCAGCTACTCCGGAGGTTGAGGCAGAAGAATTGCTTGAACCCGGGAGGCGGAGGTTGCAGTGAGCCGAGATTGCGCCCTTGCACTCCAGCCTGGGCAACAAGAGCGAAATTCTGCCTCAGATAAATAAATAAAATAAAAAAGGAGACAAAAAAGATTTTATAAGCACTTGGAGAAACAAAAAACAGGTCGCATACAAAGGTTCAACTTGTATGAAAATAAAAGATGATAGAACAATGCCTTCAAAACTCTGAAGGCAAATGATTTTTAGCCTAGAATTCTATACACAACCAAACTACCAGTCATGTGTAAGGATAAAAAAAGGTAGAAAAAATATATCTGCAGACATGTGAGATCTCAAAAATAAATCTCCCATTGACCTTTTCTTGAGAAGCTACTAGAGGATGCACTCCAGCAAAACCAGACAGCAAATAAAGGGAGAGAATTCAGGAGACAGGGATCCAACCGGGAGAGGGAACAAGGAACTCACAGAATAAACAGCAGTACTGAACCTGGTTGGTTAACAATGAGCGAGCATCCTGCTGGTAACTGCCACGGGGCAGCCTGGGGGCTCCTGAAGGGAGGCTCATGACCTGCATTTCAAGAGCACCTGCGGCATAGTAGGAGACCTCAGGATTGGTCACACCTAATCCCAGGAACCCCATCTCTTTTGTATATCACTGTGGGATCCTAAATGGTAGAATGCAGGTGATAACCACGTTTCTCATTTGGTGCCATCGGGAGGACTAGTGATGGCATATGACGGGCAGGTGGGTAGAAGGGGAGGAGCTCTAAACTCCATGTGTCCGGCTCATTCTTACCTCTAGTTCCTGAATGGGCACAGGCTGTGACGGAAGGCAGGAAGCACACTTGATCTTTATGGTCAGGGGATTTAAATCCTGCTTTTGCTCCTCGGTCATGATTGGAACTTCTGTTTTTAAAGTCAAAAGGCAATCTAAAATGTTGGCAGACTTCTCACTGCCACGACTCATGACAGTTTGCCATCCTGGGGGGAAATACACCCAGCATTAGACCTTTCCTCATGACAGCCCCAAGACAAGCACAGAAGGATCAAGCAACCTGAGATGAGCCAATGATAAAATCACAACCCAAAAGGGAAAACTTTAATTAAAAAAAAAAAAGAAAGAATCAGGAAACACCCACGGGCAGCATGTTCTGTGCTAGTTTCTCAAACTGAGAAAATTCTCTAGAATTGAATGTGTGTGACTTAATCTTGATGACATCTGTTAATAAGTAATACAAGCATTTCCTGAATCATCTGGGATACAACAGGAACCCCTATGTGTGGGTGCCACTCCCAGACAGTCTGATTTCATTGGTCTGGGGTGTGGCCTCCACAATGGGAGGTTTAATAGCTCTCCAGGTAACTTGAGAACCAACATTCTAGACCTGTTCTGCTATCCACTATGGTAGCTATGGGCCATAGGTAGCTACTTGAATTGCAACTAATTAAAATTAAATAAAATATAAAATGCACTTCCTTCTCCACACAAGCCACATTCCAAATGCCCAGTACCCTCATGTGGCTATGGGCTCCTGTATGGGTCAGCAGAGAGCCTGGCCATTGCTGCAGGAAGGCTATTGGATGGAGTGCTCCCGGCAGTTCTCCCGTCAAGGACCTATCATGCCAGTGTGTACATTTGGTACTCAGTGGGTTGCTTCACCTGTTGTGATCTGATGAGGAAAATACAGATATTGATGTAGAACACAACTGGCACATCTGAGCCAAATACAAGCGTGCACACCTCCCACCAGGATGGTTTTGCACTAGTGCACCTCATGAAAAGGGTGGGTGAATGGAGCCATTGCAAGGCATATAGGTAGCTGTCAGAATACTTTTTCTTTTTTTTTTTTTTTGAGGAGGAGTCTCACTCTGTCGCCCAGGCTGAGCACACCTGGCCCATGACTTGTTTTAGAAGCGCCTACTCTTTCTGAATGTGAGTGACTTGGCTTTTACATGCCCTAGAAATGCATTTACAGGCATGTTGAAAGGAATAGACTGATCTTTATGAGCACTATGTCATACATCATCTTTCTTAATCTTTTAACCCCAAGGAAGGAGGTATCTATCCCCGTTTTGCAGATGAAATTGAGCCTCGGAGACTCTAACTTATCACATGACAGAGTCAGATCTGGGATTCAAACCCAGGTCAATCCTGCCTCCAAAACTTGAGGGTTTTTTTTTTGTTTGTTTTTTCCCTACCTAGTACATCTCTGACTGGTGAAATACATGGATCCCTTTTATAGAAAAAGCATTCTGGGCCAGGCGTGGTGGCTCACGCCTATAATCCCAGCACTTTGGGAAGCTGAGGGGGGCGGATCACCTGAGGTCAGGAGTTCGAGACCAGCCTGACCAAAATGGAGAAACCTTATCTCTACTAAAAATACAAAATCAGCTGGACATGGTAGCGCATGCCTGTAATCCCAGCTACTTGGGAGGCTGAGGCAGGAGAATCACTTGAATCCGGCAGACGGAGGTTGCAGTGAGCTGAGATCACACCTTTGCACTCCAGCCTGGGCAACATGAGTGAAACTCTGTCTCAAAAAAAAAAAAAAAAAAAAGACTACTCAATGTAGAAGGAATCCCCAGTGCAAAAATAAAAATTTTAAAAAGTGCTCAAATCATCAGAGTCAGGGAGACATGTACCAGAACAGAATTCCAGGCTGGGGGCTCACAGCCTCCATAATGCCGACAGTTGGGGCAGGCCATTCTTTGCTCAGGGGACAGTCCTATGCATTGTGGCATGTTTAACAGTATCTTACTAGATGCCAGTGGCACCCCACTCTCAGTCGTGACAACCAAAATGCCTCCACACGCTGCCAAATGTCCCCAGCAGACACAAGTCCCCTGAGTTAAGAGCCCTGGTCGAGTAAGAGTGGAACAGTGCAAGGGAATGTTTGTGCTCCTGCTACAGCCAGTCCCAACATGCGCTAATGTCATTTCATCCTTAACCTTGTCTGGCTGCTGTCATCGCCACATTACAGATGGGGAAACTGAGGCCCAGAGTTCCGACGCAATCATCCAAGGTCTCTTAGCCAATACGTTGTGGAACCAGCATCCAAACCAGTTCTGCGGGGCTAAGTGGGGCCCCTCCGCTATGCAATACTATCCTTTTAAAATAAGAGTTCACTGCCAGACATAGAATCTTTCTAGAATCTTACTAGGTTACTAGCCAACCAATATTTACTAATAAGGTATACATGATCTATGGCCTAATTTGAAATTGAAGATGATTACCAAAAATAATTATGCTGAGTTTACAATAAATAATCTTATGCTATTATTTTCTGAAAAAACCAGAGATACAACTGGCCTGCTGAGCCGACCTGTGCTCTGCTGATGACCATAGGCTGTGTCAGGGTATAATGGAGTGGCCCACACACATGGCCTCGGGAGGCAGCTGCTGCCTCCACACCAGCACCCTCTGGGTCCCACTGTGCTAAGCAGTTTACACACATCAGCTCCTGTGATCCTTAAAACAATGCTCTGAGGTAGGAGTGATCACCCCCATTTCATAGAGGAGGAAAGTGAGACTCAGAGAAAGCAGGTAACTTGCTGGTAAGTGACTGAGCCATGATCAAAGTGTTTTTGTCACCAAAGCTCTTACATATGAACCCCTGCATTGTACAGCCATGACGGTACAGGTTAAAGAGAGGGGAGGCTAGGTCAGGCGCGGTAGCTCACGTCTGTAATCCCTGCACTTTGGGAGGCTGAGGCGGGCGGATCACGAGGTCAGGAGTTCAAGACCAGCCTGGCTAATATGGTGAAACCCCATCTCTACTAAAAATACAAAAATTAGCCTGGCGTGGTGGCACGCACCTGTAATCCCAGCTACTCTGGAGGTTGAAGCAAAAGAATTGCTTAAACCCGGGGGGCAGAGGTTGTAGTGAGCCGAGATCACACCACTGCACTCCAGCCTGGGCGACAGAGCAAGACTCCACCTAAAAAAAAAAAAAAAAAAGAGAGAGGGGACCATGTCCTGGCTTCATTCTGCTGGAAACAGTCACGCCAGGCAGGCCAAGACAGTTGAACTTCTCTTTCCTCTCACAGTAAAATTCAAAGTGGGGCAGGTCCCATGGTACACTCCCCTAGGAGGATCATGGGTTCCTCCTTGGGACTCTAGGACAGAGGAAGCAGCTAGCAAAGGCGTTTGCTCAAAGTCACTGTGTGCAACAGGTATGCTGGAGTGTCAGGCTGGAGAATGGGGCGGGGGAAGACGCTCTTCAAGTTTACTCTCTGGCACTGTCACTTCTCAAGAAGGTTCTGATGCTACGAGAAAGTGAAGGTGGTCAGGAAGGACCAGCTGTAGGTGAAGTATGATTTTCAAAAAGTCATTTAAAACTGCAAACTGCCACGTGCGGCAGCTCACACCTGTAATTCTAGAACGTTGAGAGCCAGAGGCAGAAGGATTACTTGTGTCCAGGAGTTTGAGACCAGCCTGGACAACATAGCAAGACCTTGTCTCTGCAGAAAATACAAAATAATAATAATAATAATAATAGCCAGGTGTGGTAGTGTGCACCTGTAGTCTCAGCTATGCGGGCGGCAGAGGCAGGGCTTGCTTCAGGCTAGAGTGAGCTATGATTGTGTCACTTACACTCCAGCCTGGGTGAGAGAGCAAGACCCTATCTCAAAAAAAAAAAAAAAAAAAAAAAAAAGTGCAAACTGAAAAGTTAATAGGACTTTCTCACAATGAATCGACACCAACCCAAAAGTGCATGAGGAGGATGATGACTGGCACCTGTGGAAGTGAACTGGCAGCTCTGACTTATGGGGATTTCGCCCCCTCCTCTATGAACACTGGTCCCAGTTCAGAAAAGACCAACGCACGCGCTTCTGCAGAGTAGCCAGGAGAGGGCGCACAAGACACGTGATGGCCAAAAAAATGAACAAAGTCTGAATTTTCTCTAAAAAGAAAAAAAAGCGGGGGAGCTCACCCCATATTACTCTTTTTTGGAACAAAGCAATATAATTTTACCAAAATATATGCTGAGATTTCCATCATCAAAACATATTGATATAATATTTAGTTAAGATTTACCAATATGTATAAAATCTAGTTCATAAATTGTGGTAGATCTTATAAAGCAAAAGAATTAAATCCCTGCTGGCCACTGAGTTATGCGGCCTTAGGAAAGTTACTTAACCTCTTTGAGTTCTTTTCCTCACTGAAAACAATGGTAACAATGGTAAGCACCACAGCCACCACACCACAGGTTGGCTGAGTGGCTCAGAATTTGGTCTGAGAAGTGATGTGTCATATGGGAGGTGCCTGCACCCAGAGGGGCTCAGTCAAAAAGGGTTCCCTTTCCTCATTCCCTTTACTAGATGTTTTTGTAAAAATCTATAGGAAAGCATTTGTTAAAAGCAGCATCTTCTTAGCAAACACAGTGATGACATTTAATATTCCCATAGGCTTCCTTGGAGTTTGGAATCAAATAGAGCTGGGTTCAGGTCCAGACTTCACATTTCCTAGCTGTGTGATCTCAGGCAATGTAGCTACCCTCTCTGGGTCTTTGTTTCCCCCTGTACTATGGAGCCAATTCCCCTGAGTTTCCTGAGGTGGCTGTGAGGATGAAATGAGGTGGCACACAGCAGGGTTGTCATTAGGAGCATCCGCTTATGGCCATTCTGGCAAGCTGGAGCTGCTGGGAACAGGGCAAGGAGTGGGTACCGGCAAGGAGCGGCATGACGGCCAGTTGGATGGAGAAAGTGCCCTGCTTCCTTAGGCCTGTCAGCGTGGGGTCTGCCTCTTCTTCTGCAGGGGGCTTCTTATGTCTCCTCTGGATTTTCTTTCTTCCCTCTGAATCTTTTCCTTTAACTGTGAAATCAAATAAAGGAGATAAGCATTAAGAGGAGACTGTATCTGAGCTGCCACATGTGGACCTGAACATGCTACAGAGATTTGGGAAAGTTCCGGAAGCTCCTAGAAGGCAGGGGTTGTTCTTTGTGTGACTGCCTCTTCCCAGCAACCAGAAGTGGTGGCTAAACATAGATGGCAGGCCCGTTGCCAGTTATATGTAGTAATAAGGTAAGGGTCTCTTATTCCCCGCCTCTGCTAACTGAGAACACAGGTAGAAGAGGACTAAAGTCACCATGACAATGATGCCATAACACACTCAAGGCTCCCTCCAGTCAGCTCTTAATCTCAGCACAGGGCGGAGGGTGGGCTTTTTTAAGAGACCCTGCTCTTAAACAAAAGCCCACAGTCTGAGCCTCAGTAACCTCACCTGTTACATGAGGGCAACAGCACCTGCCTTCTAGGGCACTGAAAAGAGGAAATTAGCAACGCTACATAAAACATTCAGCTCAATGCCAAGCTCAGACCAGAAGGAAAAGGAGATGAGAACACATATAAATCTACGGTCATCAAGACTAATGGGACAGATGAGAAAGCCCAGGAACAGACCCAAACACATAGGGGAACCCAACAGATGCCAGAAGTGGAGTTTCAAATCAGTGGGTAAGTTATATTGACTATCCATATGGGAGCAAATTAAGTTACTGAATTATTTCATGGCGTATACAAAATGAATTACAGACTAAGAGTATAAAACAAAAACTTCAAAATCATCAGAAGAGTATCTAGGAGACTATACTGACATCTGCATGAAGAAGGATTTCTTTCTTTCTTTCTTTTCTTTTCTTTTTTTTTTTTTTGAAACGGAGTTTCACTCTGTTGCCCAGGCTGGAGTGCAATGTCGCAATCGAGGCTCATTGCAACCTCTGCCTCCTGGGTTCAAGTGATTCTTCTGCCTCAGGCTCCTGAGTAGCTAGGACCACAGGCACATGCTACCACGGCCAGCTAATTTTTGTATTTTTAGTAGAGATAGGGTTTCAACCATGTTGGCCAGGCTAGTCTCGAACTCCTGACCTCAGGTGATCCATCTGCCTTGGCCTCCCAAAGTGCTGGGATTACAGGCTTGAGCCAACGCACCCAGCCTCTTTTTTCTTTTTTTTAAGAGATGATGTTTTGCCCGGGTGCGGTGGCTCACTCCTGTAAATCCGGCACTTTGGGAGGCTGAGGCAAGTGGATCACTTGAGGTCAGGATTTTGAGACCAGCCTGGCCAACATGGTGAATCCGGCACTTTGGGAGGCTGAAGCAAGTGGATCACCTGAGATCAGGATTTTGAGACCAGCCTGGCCAACATGGTGAAACCCCATCTTTACTAAAAATAAAAAATTAGCCAGGTATGGTGGCAGGCACCTGTAATCCCAGCTACTTGGGAGGCTGAGTCAGGAGAATCACTTGAACCTGGGAGGCAGAGGTAGCAGTGAGCCCAGATCGTGCCACTGTACTCAAGCCTGGGCTACAAGAGAGAAACTCAGTCTTTGGGGAAAAAAAAAGAGAGAGATGGTGTTTCACTATGTTGCCAAAGCTGGCCGTGAACTCTGGGCTCAAGTGATGATCCCCTCAGCCTTGCAAGTAGCTTGGACTACAGGCGTGCACCACCATACCCAGCTAAGGAAGGATTTCTTAAACATTCCTGAAAGTATAAACTAGAGAGGAATAGTTAAATAACTGGTGTACAAAACAAGATACCATAAATCTAGTCAAAGGATAAGTCACATACCCCTGTCTGTGAGGGTTATCATGCATATAACTGGCAATGCACAATCATCCAGATGTAAACACAAAGCTGGCAGATCAATAAGACAATTTTTTTGAACTAACAAAAAAATAAGCAAAGATATGAATAGGAAAATCGTAGAAGAGTGTGACCAAATAAGCCTATGCAGTGCTGCTCAGCCTCACCAGGAGTCAGGAACTAAACCATGTCTGTGCAGAGCAGCAGAGAACAGCAGTCCTTAGGACTGCGAGCAGTGGGGTAAAGAGATGCTGCCTGAGGTCAGGCCCAGTGGCTCACGCCTGTAATCCCAGCACTTTGGGAGGCTGAGGCAGGTGGATCACTTGAGGTCAGGGGTTTAAGACCAGCCTGGCCAACATGGAGAAACCCCATCTCTACTAAAAATACAAAATTAGCCAGGCGTGGTGGCACATGCCTATAATCCCAGCTACTCGGGAGGCCGAGGTAGGAGAATTGCTTGAACCTAGGAGGTGGAGGTTGTGGTGAGCCGAGATCACGCCATTGCACTCCAGCCTAGGCAACAAGAGCAAAACTCTGTCTCAAAAAAAAAAAAGAGAGAGAGAGAGAGAGATGCTGCCTGGACAGTAAACTAGCAGCATCTAGCAATGGGGTCGAGGCTCACAGCCTGTGCCCCAGGGGTCCCACTGGGCCAATGCCTTGGACTCACATGTGTGCCCAGACACTCACCATGGCAGTGCTGGAGCAAGAAATTGGAGACAACTCAGATCCCGGGCAGGGGGACTGTATGCATGCAGGACGGTCCACCCATAACACATGGCAAAATGCTAACACCTAAATTGTGAATATGTAGTTGTTGCATTTTTGTGTGAACTTTCCTATCTTTATTTCAAAATAAAAGAATGGTTTAAAAACCTCATTGAATGCTTAAAGCACATTTTTAAAAAGAGTGACATTTTTAATCTGGAAAAGAAAAAAGCCAGAAGTTGAGAGGCGTTCACATGTGAAAGTGTGACTCAGTCTTTGTGGACTGTAAGAATAGGAATGAGTTTTCTTCAACTGTATCTCCAGTACCCAGCAGAGAGCCTGGCTCAAGCAGTCACTTCCCTCTGCAGCCTTCGACTGTTGCACTAGAACCAGGCCAGTGTCAGCAAACAACAGATTAACTGATTGAGAGATGAGGAAATGATCTGTAGCAATTACAGCTAAAAGGACATGAAATGGCCCATCCCAGGAGGCAGCAGTATACCCACTGGCTCTAGATTTTCCCACCTCACACTGGAAACACAACTTCTTAATGAGAAACTGGTAAGGGGATGTAGGCTGAGAATGAGGAAGTCGATTTAGTGGCTTCTGAGGGTTCAGATCTCTTGACAGTATGTGAATAAGATTACACACTTCTTCATGAGCGGGTCCCATGACACGGAATACTGTGTTCTTCATTCCACCATAAGAGTAAATACTGGGCCGGGCGCAGTGGCTCATGCTTGTAATCCCAGCACTTTGGGAAGCTGAGGCAGACGGATCATTTGAGATCAGGAATTTGAGACCAGCCTGACCAACATGGTGAAACCCCGTCTCTACTAAAAATACAAAAATTAGCTGGGTATGGTGGTGGATGCCTGTAATCCCAGCTACTCAGGAGGCTGAGGCAGGAGAATTGCTTGAACCCAGGAGGCAGAGGTTGCAGTGAGCCAAGATTGCACCATTGCACTCCAGCCTAGGCAATAGAGCCAGGCTCCTTCTCAAAAAAAAGAAAAGAAGGCCGGGCGCGGTGGCTCACACCTGTAATCCCAGCACTCTGGGAGGCTGAAGCGGGCAGATCACAATTTTGGGAGATCAATGCCATCCTGGCTAACACGGTGAAACCCCGTCTCTACTAAAAATACAAAAAAAAAATTAGCCGAGGGCGGTGGTAGCCGCCTGTAGTCCCACCTACTCGGGAGGCTGAGGCAGGAGAATGACGTGAACCCAGGAGGTGGAGCTTGTAGTGAGCCAATACTGGGCGACAGAGTGAGACTCTGTCTCAAAAAAAAAAAAGAAAAAGAAAAAGAGTAAATACTTTATCTTTCAAGGAGAGTTTTTACATAAACATGATTCTTTTATGCTTCCCCAACATACCGCATACCTACCCCTACCACAACATCTATCACATAGAATTGTAATTCTTTATTTGAAAGTCTCCATTAGATATTAGAGATTTTCATGTCCCCCATATGCACAACACCGTGGGTCAAAACTATTGTTGGAATGGAATGGATGATGAGGGTGAGTAAATGATATGAGAAGAAATGGAACAAATGGATGGATGGATGGAGATGGATGGATAGAGATGGATGGATGGATGGATGGAGATGGATGGATGGATGGATGGAGATGGATGGATGAATGAATAAATGGAATGGGTGGGTGGACTGATGAATGGATGGGGATGGATGGATGGGGATGGATAAATGAATGGATGGATGAATAGAGATGGATGGATAGATAGATGGGGATGGACAGATAGATGAATGGATGGATGGGGATGGATGGATGGATGGATGGTAAGGATGGGATGCATAAGTTGAAAATGTATACAGTACTCTTTACTTTTGAGAAACATTTGGTCAAATATGCAAGAATCTCATTGGAATATCCTGAATTTAAAATATTTCATAATTCTTCCAAGTCTAGTTACACTATAAAATTCCCAAATCCTATCCTAACTTACTTTGAGACCTTTGTCTGTCTAATATGTTTGTTAAGCTGCTAAGTGATTCACTCTCAATTAATTCCTTGATCTCCATCATGCTTGCTCCTGCCAAAGAAATGGTTGGTGTTCTTGAAACACTCCATCTAGAAAAGTCACAAAGAGAAAAATGAATGAAGGTGAAAAAAATCAGGGGCCAGATGTGATAATCTATTTACTGATGGACCAAAGGAGAGCAGATTTTTAAAAAACTTTATAGTGCATCCCTCTAACCCAGTGCTTCTCAGTTTTCAATGTGCCTGTGAGTTACCTAGGGATTTTATCAAATAAAATGAAGACTCTGGTTCAGTAAACCAGGGGCAGGCCTGAAATTCTCCATTTCTACCAAATTCCCAGTGATGCTGACACACTTGGTCTGCATTCAAGGTACTAACCAACTCAAAAATATAATGGAAAATAATATATTTTTATAAAAATAACCCAAACTATAAAACATCTAAGAATTCACTAATAGGAATTATCCACAACATTTATAGGCAGAACAAATGAACTCCATTAAAGGACATAAGGGAGGGTATGAATTGAATGAAAGGATATACCATGATCATGGATGAGATACCTTAACAATGTAAAAATGTCAGTTCTTCCCCAAATAATCTATATATTCCATACAAAAACAATTTTTAAAAAAATCAAAATTGTTTAAAGACATGTTCTCTTGGTTCTTCTCATTCCATTTCCCAAAACCACCAGCTGGGCTTCCATTTTCTCCCTGGTCCCCATAGCATCCAAGGAGTATCCTTCTCCAGACCCTTAGGCTACCAGAGGCCCTAAAAGCAACTGACCTCATGCAGGATGACTGGAGACTCAGGAGTCTGAAGCTGTGGGTTGGAATCCCAGCTTAACCAGGAATTCTGGTTTATCACTTTGTGTAAATCATTTAATTACTCAGTCACTTTGTGTAGTTATTATGAGGATCAAATGAGATAAAATAATGCATGCAGAAAGTTTGATGTGCAACATATACTCATAAACACAAGCTGCCCTTTCCCTGTTTGCTTAATTTAGCCTGGATTGCATGAGCTCCAATTTAACTGGATTTACTAAAAAACCTACCATGACTCATAGTAGGGCTAGTACAAGAGGAGCTCCACTCCCACCACCCAAAATGTCATTCAATCCTTACTGAACCGTGGAAGAATCATCCGTTTTGGGGGACTTCTCATATTCCTCACTGTTCTTGGAAGAATTTTCGGGCTCTGCTTGGTGAGAATCTGAAAACAGTAGCAAATATTTCTAAGCTTTTTGTTACATGCTAGTTCACTAAGAAATGAGGGCCCCAACCCATTTCTGTAATGTCAGTCTCTACGCAGAAGGCCTGGGATGTGGGAAGCACTCAGTCAAAAAGTTTGTTGTTAATAAGTGAGTAAACGAATAAACACAGACTAATATTTGATTATTTGGATAAATGGAGTCAAGAGGAGACCTCCAGTTCCTTACATAAAAGCCCACAGAGAAAAAGAAGAAAGTCTATTATCTATTAAATGGTCCATTTCAGTCCTGTTTACATTAGAGAATAATGAAAACAGTCCCAAGTTCCCAACCATAGGGAATGGTTAGCAAATTACAATCTGCCAAGAAGATGAAATACTACATAGTCACCACACTACAATGTTACATAGATTGCTCCTTGTGATGAAATTGTTTTCCCTGTTTGTTTTATATTTTTATCTATTCACTGAATTTTCTAAAAACCATATACACAACTTCCACAGTCAGAGAAGTTTTTGGGACTGGGTGCAGTTGCTCACACCTACAATCTCAGCATTTTGGGGGCTGAGGTAGGTGGATCACTTGAGGTCAGGAGTTCAAGACCAGCCTGGCCAACCTGGTGAGGCTGGTCTCTACTAAATGGTCTCTACTAAAAATACACAAATTAGCTGGGTGTGGTGGTGGGCGCCTGTAATCCCAGCTACTCGGGAGGCTGAGGCAGGAGAATCACTTGAACCCGGGAGGCAGAGCTTGCAGTGAGCCGAGATCGCGCCACTGTACTCCAGCCTGGGCGACAGAGCGAGACTCCGTCTTAAAAAAAAAAAAAGAAACATCCGAGAATTACCAAAATGTGACAGAGACACAAAGTGAGCACCCGAGGTTGAAAAAACGGCATCAATAAACTTGTTCGACACAGGATTGCCACAAATCTCCAAATTGGAAAATGCATGATCTCTGTGGAGCCCAGTAAGGCAAAGCACAATCAATCAAGGTATGCCTATAAGTGACAGTCACCTTCCTCTGAAGAAGATGAAGCAATGGATAAGGCCCCTGTTCTCCTGGAGCTGCTGCCTAGGAAGCTGCCTCCAAATTCCAGGAAACCCAAAACAATAAGCACACACGTCTGGGACAGGCACACATGTTGAGGTTCTCAGACCTCAGCAGGCCAGCAGCCTCCTCCAAATGCGAGCATTGAGCCTGTGACATGAGCTGCTACGCTGGCTCCTAGCATTCCACTTTAAGGAGGGCAGTAACATTCCCCATCTCACAGATGAAGATCTGACACTGAAGTAACTTTCCCGTGGTCAGAGAGGTGGTCCTTAACAAAGCCAGGACTGCACCCAGAGTGCCTTGTCCCCAGCCAGGGTGTCAGCTCCTCAACGCCCTTCATTTCTATCCCTAGAGGCCTCAGATGCACATGGCAGCCACCAAGAATGGGGAGGCTAATGAATAAATGGAGTAAGTGAATTGACAAATGGAGATGAAAGATGCTACAAGAAAGAAATGGAAAAAAGGAGGTGAAATTGGATTCAGTGCTGAAAAATAGACAACACTTTTTGGAGAAACAGATGAGGCTGACAGCCATGGAAGAATGCCCAGCTGGTTTATCACGAGGCCTTACCATGAGAGAGAGCCGCATGTCTGCAGGGACCAGGAGGTGGGCTGTGGTGTGAAGGGGCAGTTGCAGTGAGAAGGAGCCTTGGAAACAGATTGTAAAATGCCTTCAAGGCCAAACCACTTGGTTCTCTAAAGGCCCTAGGGCAGCCATGAACAGCTGCAAAGCAAGGCAGCACCAGGACCGAACGGGAGACAGAGAAAGGCCATGCCACAGCGGCAGGAGAGAGAAGGGGGAACAATCCTGGGTGCAGAGAAAGCCAGAGGGCAGGAGGGAGAAGACAGCTGGGCAGAGAGCTCCCAAGAACAACAGGTGGGGGATACCCACTGGGCACCGGGTGGGGGTGCCCAGAATTGAGAGCATAGGAGTAATTAAATGTGACTGGGGGGCTTTGAAAAGAATGCTGTCTTTGTCCAGTCCTGAGAAATCCAGCAGATGAGCAGATTGAAGGGAAAAGAAATGCTGAGTGTGATGGTGAATACTGAGTGTGATGGTGAATACTGAGTGTCAACTTGATTGGATTGAAGGAATGCAAAGTATTGATCCTGCATGTATCTGTGAGGGTGTTGCCAAAGGAGATTAACATTTGAGTCAGTGGACTGGGAGAGGCAGACCCATCCTCAATCTGGGTGGGCACCATCTAATCAGCTGCCAGCGCAGCTAGAAGAAAGCAGGCAGAAGAACATGAAAGGACCTGACTTCCTGAGTCTTCTGGCCTTCATCTTTCTCCTGTGCTGGAGGCTTCCTGCCCTCAAACATCAGCCTCCAAGTTCTTCAGCTTTTAGACTCTTGGACCTACACCAGTGGTTTGCCAGGGGGATCTCAGGCCTTCGGTCACAGACTGAAGGCTGCACTGTCGGCCTCCCTAATTTTGAGGTTTTGGGACTCAGACTGGCTTCCTGGCTCCTCAGCTTGCAGACGGCCTATTGTGGGACTTCACCTTGTGATCATGTGAGTCAATACTCCTTAATAAACTCCCTTTCATACATACATCTATCCTATTAGTCCTTCCCTCTAGAGAACCCTGACTAGTACACTAAGTCAGGTTGGGATGTGTCCTTCAAGACCAGCAGGCTGAATACTAACAAGTTCTGGAATGTGACCTACCAGGCATCCAATAAACATCCTATCCCCTTCATAATATGAGACAGAACTCTTACAGTATTCCTGTGCTTCCAAGAAATAAAGAGTTTCTGTAAGAAATCTTTTTAAGTGAGAAAAGGCAGGACTTAAGACAACATGTACACTAGATTCACAGGAAAAATGTTAACAATGGCTATCTCTGGACAGGAATCACGTGGTTTTAACTTTTTCTCTTTTTTGCTAGGCAATTTCTGAATTGTTTTACAAAGTGAATTCGCATTATTTTTTTAATGGGGAAAAACTTATTTAAATAAGAAGCAGTGATGCTAAGCTTGGGACAGGGTTCAGGAAGGAGCAGGTGCTGTCATTGCAATGTTTCACAGTGCTAGGCATAGTGGCTCACACTTGTGATCCCAGCACTTTAGGAGGCCAAGGCAGGAGGATTACTTAAGACCAGGAGTAAGAGACCAGCCTTGGTAACATAGTAAGACCCAATCTCTAAGAAAGATAAAATTTTTAAAGTAGCCAGGTGTGGTGGCACATACTCGTGGTCCCAGCTACTCAGAAGACTGAGGCAGGAGGAATCACTTGAGCCCAGGAGCTCAAAGCTGCAGTGAGCTATGATCACATCACTGCACTCCAACCTGGGCAACAGAGTGAGACCCCGTCTCAATCAATCAATAAGAATACTCATAGCAGGAGGCTTGTGGTCTCACCCTGGAGGCCATAGAACACCCTTTCTCCTTCCTTTTCTGGCCACCGAATTCCCTTTACCCATCCAAACTTTGCTACTACGGCCCTTCCTCCAGGAATCCTTCCTGATACTCCCACCTCAGCACCCTACTCCAATGACAGCCCACTGCAGGGCAGATACTAACCAAGAAGTCTGGCTCAACAGCTCCAAATCAGGCCTGGAATCTGCATGTAAGCATCTGATGCAGGTGGTCCACAGCCCACACTTTGAGGACATGGTTCTTTCCTCTAGTCCAGGTAAGAAAAATTACCTTGAATCCCATTTTCTCACACTGGAAACCTACAACTTGTAGTGTAGGTATATGCATTAGTGTTTCTCAGCCAGGGGCAATTTTGATCCCCAGGGGACATCTGGCAATGTCTGAAGAAATCTGATTGTCACAACTGGCAGGCTACTACTGGCAGCTAGTGAGTAGAGGCCAGAAATGCTGCAAAACACCCAACAATCCACAGAACAGCCCCCAGAGTGAGGAGTTATCTGGCCCAAAATGTCAATAGTGCCAAGAGTAAGCAACTCTGGACATAAATGAAAGATTTAAAGTGGGAAGTTCCAAGCCTCCAAGGTCAGAAAGGCTCCTTGAGAAGGCAGGCTAGAAAATCAGATAAAAGCAAGGCTTTCCGGCCACACAAAATTGAGGATAATTATACTCGTCTGGAAGGTGCTGACAATGATAATAGTACCATACATCATTGATTCTAATATGTACATCTGTTTCACATTTTTTTTTTTTGAGATAAGGTCTTGCTCTTGTCACCCAGGCTGGTGTGCAATCATACAAACACAGCTTACTAAAGCCTCAACCTCCCAGGCTTAAGCAATCCTCCCACTTCAGCCTTCCAAGAAGCTAGAATTACAGGTGCACATCACCATGCTGGGCTGATTTTTAAATTTTTTGTAGAGACAGGGTCTTGCCACGTTACCCAGGCTGGTCTTAAACTCCTGCCTCAGCCTCCCAAAGTGCTGGGATTACAGGCACAAGCCACTGTACCTGCCTTTTAAAATTTTTAACATCTCTAAGCATCAGGATGCATCTTACAATTAATGCCATGTCATAGTTTAATTGGTAGCATTTAATTACAGTTCTTAAATTTTGTATAGACAATGCATACCCTCCTTATTGCCTGCACCCAGGTGGACCACTCCTGTCAACCTGCCTCCAATATTCCAGTGAAGCAGGTACTAGTTATTTTTCCTTTTTTACAGATGAGAAACGTATGTTCAGGAACATACCCAGGTCACCAGCAAGTACAAGTTGGAGACAGGACTGAATTCCAGCATCTGGCGTCAAAGCCTGGATCCTTCCATCCCTCCTGGCTCTCTCCTTCAAGATGAGTTCAAAAGACTTTCTGACATTGGCTGGTCACAGTGGCTCACACCTGTGATCCCAGTACTTCAGGAGGCCAAGGCGGGTGGATCACCTGCGGTCAGGAGTTCGAGACCAGCCTGGCCAACATGGTGAAACCCCATCTCTACTAAAAATACAAAAATCAGCCAGGCGTGGTGGCACGTGTCTGCAGTCCCAGCTGCTCGGAGGCTGAGGCAGAAGAATCACTTGAACCGGGGAGGCAGAGGTTGTAGTGAGCCGAGATGGCACTACTACACTCCAGCCTGGGCGACAGAGTGAAACTCCATCTCGGAAAAAAAAAAAAAAAAAAGTCTTTCTGATATTGATAAAATATTTACACAAATGAGTCTGGAAGAGTCTACATGAGAATCTTAAGACAATTGGCTTGGGGTGGTGGGATTTTTAAGTTTTTCTCTTTTGTTTCTTTGTATCCTCTAAGGTTTTGTTTTGTTTTGTTTTGGTTTGGTTTTTTTTTTTCAGTGAACATACAATACTAGTCCAGACCGGTGGTGGGTGCCCGTGTCAGAGCTGCCCTGGAATGAAAGGGCCCAAAAGGTGGAGTTGCAAGAACACTACCCACCACACCATCACTCCCCTAGGTGGCGCTTCCTGTCACCACAGCATGGCCTGGTGGGATGCCCCCACGGATGCAGAAACCCGTGTGTGCACATGCCAATTAGATAAAGGAAACCAGGAGACACTGGCTTTTATGCTATTACTACTGAGTAAGCCCCAGGCTTCCAGAACCATTTCAAATAAAACCAGAGCACCTGACTTATGGAAAGCTCCCACGTCGTCTGTGAAGCCGGCAGTCTTTAATCGGTAATATCTGACTTTTCTTGACATCTTGTCTTTAGAGTTCCAGAGCCTCAAGGTGATTTTGTGGAAATTTATTTTCTTTAATAATTCCTTTGTCACATTGATATTAAAAGTCTGCTCCCACGACACCCAGGCTTTGTCACCTTCGTGCCACGGCTTCACAGTCTGTGTAAAACAACATTCAGAGATGTCAACTGGGGAAAGATGTGTGAAGGCCATGGTGAACAGAGCAAACCCCAGCCCCAGCCTGGCCCTCAGCAGCAGCGCTGCCTGACTTCAGTGCCTGATCACTCTTCAGGCTCTGAGTTCAGGGAAAATGGGGTGGTGTGTACTGGGCCCCATCAGACTTTCGCGTTCCTCAGGAAGAATAAAATCAAAGTAATTATCTGCAAATAGCATCCTCCTCGACTGCTTCTAAGCAATGACCCAGGGTCAAACCACTGGCAGGAGTGTGTGTGTGCAGGTAGTGTGTACACAAAAACTTTTGAAACATTCCGGAAATTACTGGGTAAAATATCTAAATAAAAAATAGGCCAGGTGGGGTGGCTCACACCTGTAATCCCAGCACTTAGGGAGGCCAACGCGGGAGGATGACTTGAGGTCAGGAGTTCAAAGCCAGCCTGGCCAACATAGTGAAATCCCATCTCTACTAAAAATACAAAAACTAGCTGGGCATGGTGGCTCACACCTGTAATTCCAGCTACTCAGGTGGCTGAGGCATAAGAATCACTTGAACCAGGAGGCGGAGATGATTGCACTACTATACTCCAGCCTGGGCAACAGAGCAAGACTCCGACTCAAAAAAAAAAAAAAAAAAAGTCAGTAATTGGAATGATCAGGTCAGTACAGATTCCTACTCAGGAGGTGGGGCCTGGGATCCTCCAATTCTAGCAAACTGGAGGTAAAGCTGATGTTGCACATCCATGGAGTGGCACACTTTTCGTGATAAGCATTAGACTATATGTAAGGTCACATGCACTCACACACGCACCTTTACTCCTGACTCCAGGAACACTTTGGCCACCATTGGAAATAGCAATATGTCAACTTTTTTAGGTTCTCCATCATCCGGCAGAAGGAAATACTCGATGTGGTAAAAACGACGTAACTTTGAAACAGAACTGTCTGTTTTAGGGTGCTTCTTATATTTTTCAATCAAACTTGCATATTTCCCCTTATGACCTTGAAGATACAGATTGAAAAAGTCTTGTTTTAACCTCATGTGGAAAAGCAGATCCATCTCCCCAGTTCCATGGAGCTTGATGTTGTGAGAGGCTGCGCACTCGACATTGCCTGCCCAATTTGGGAAAGGAGGTACAGGTCCAGTGCTCCTAGCCAGCAAAGTAGCAGGACCTGGACTGCGCACCTGAGTGCAAAATTGAAGTGCGTGGTTTTCAGAGTGAGTGTCTCTGTTGGAGAGTGAGTGTTGGTTAGTAGGCCTAGGGTTAAAAAAGTGATAGAGTTAAAGTGAAATCACATGGCCAAGCCAGGTGTTTTTGGGAGAGACGTCCTACTTGCCTCACCCTAGTCCCTCCTGGCCCTAAGAAGCAGGTAAAAAAATAATAATAATAATCACAGTACAATATGATTTGTGCAATAACAGCAGCAGAAACAAGGTTGTGAAGAACAAAGGTGGAGGGGCAAACTCTGCATGGGGAGGGTGGGGTGGGCCTCCCAGGGGGGCCTTAGCAGAGTCTTAGAGGAGCAAAGCTAGCAGATATTCCAGACACAGAGAAAACAGCTTCACAAAAACGTCATAGGTGAAGCTACCCAATGTGGGGTGGACAGGGTGACAGGATGTGGAAGGTACAGATGGGCTTCTGCCAGAGTCCAGAGCCCAAGGAGCCCCCTGACCCCGCCCCTGGTTGCTTACACTCCAGCTTAAACTCCACACTCTAGGTCGGGGCTTTTCACATGATAAGAAGCTCCATAACATTTAATCCAAATATAATTCTATAAAAACATGACCCTCTTTAAAGCTGTAGCTTTTAAAGTCTAAATTTTTAACCCCAGGAGGCTGCTGCAGCATTAATTTTTCTGCTACCAAAATGGTTAGCATTTGTGCAGAGACTGGAGTCAAGCTTCTCCTGCCAGGCTCTGGTAGCATTAGACCTTTTCTGATTCAATCTCAGGTGGGCCAGCAAGTGGACAAACAGAGCTTCTCATTTTCTGTAGACAGAAAGGCAAGTTATTTAGCCCTTTTAAAGGAGAAGTTGACAGTATCTGTCAAAAACTGTAAATGTATGCCTTCAATCCAGCAAATTTACTTCTTGGAATACAGACAACAGAAGTGCCCACATATATGCACAAAAATGTATGTAAAGAATGTCTATCGCAGAATTGTAACAGAAAAACATTTGAAACAACTCAAATATCCACCAATAAGGGGTAGGATAAATTAGAGACATATAGAGACGTTCAGAAACCAGCTGCCTTCATTCATTCACTCATTCGTTCACTCTTCAAGGAGTTTCTACCCTGAACCTCAGCACCTACTATAAGCCTGGCCCTTGCCCGTAGGATGAGGGAGAAGGGTTGATGGCTCCTCCCTCCCTCCCTCCCCCTCCATCAGCTCCCACCTCCCACTCTTTAATAAAAGCAAAGGAAGCTGTGGGCTCTGCAAACTCAGACCTCCCCCACAATCTCTCTCATTAGACTCTCCTGCCTCAGACTCCCGGAAAATGTATTTTAAACAAGGTATTAGGTGATGCACAAACGCCTATGAGAATCCATGCCTTAACCTCTCCTTGGTTTTTTCTCCTCTGTAAAAAGCAGACCGAACATCATCTGCTTCAGGGTCATTGAGAGGATTAAGCATGTGAAGCTGATGCAGCCACAGTTGGGCCTCTCCTAAAATTGCTGTTTCTTTTCAACCTCTGTTCCTGGCTGGCACTGGTCAGCCCACTTTGGGGTGGGGCAGGTGGAGAGACGATGTGGGGCATATGCACCCTAAATTCCTGCAGAAAGTCATACACCTCCTTTTTTCAGAGGGTGTTAGAGTTCTGCTCTAGCACCTACCCGTATCCACAGGGAAGGCCAGTGAGATGGTGAATGTGCAGGGGACTACGTGGGGCACGTCGGAGCTGAAGGTGCTGGCAGGCTCAGATGAGGACTCAGTGCTGCTGCACTGGCGGTCAGAGTCAGACTCCTGGGCCCTGGCCTTGGCCTTGAGGTGTTCCTCCACGTCACACTCACTCGTGGACTGGTAAAAGCTGGTGATGGAGGAGATGGGCTCTATGCTTGCGGGGTCCTCTTCCCACTCCCAGGCATTCAGCGACATGCTGCAGAGCGCGCCGCTGGCCGCCGGCGCTCCTGGCAGGGAGAAAGTGAGGCTGTCCCCGCCTGTATTCCAGGGCTGCTCCAGGAAGTAAGTCCGGCCTCCTGCAGGAGCACCCACCCGTCTCTTCCCCGCTTCCCCAGCTTGCTCCTGGGTGAACTCCGGGGCTCCTTCACTGCCTGCCACACAGTCGGTACTCAACCGACTTAAGAGAATGAATGGATGAATGAACCACAGAGAAGAGTGGCTGGCAGTAAGCACGACGACGAGCAACCCCGTTTCCTTCGCCTAACCAGGAGTCAGTCGCCGGGCTTCTGGAATGCCTGCCCCAGGTGAGCAGCTCCCGAGAGCCACCAGGCGGAAGAGGGGGCGTCTACTCAGGCAGGTCTGCTGAGACTAAGCACAAGATGCGTTCGCTATTTGGGGAGAGGCAAACCAGGCCGCGGGCAGCACGTGCAGGAGCCTGGCGAGGTCGGGGAGGGCAAGCCGTGCCCCCTAGACAGAACATGAATGTGCACTGGGTGCTGGGGCATCAGCTCAGGGCCCACGGAGGCGGAACGCCGGGCAAACACCGGGGAGGGAACACGCGTCGAGGAGAGGAGGGAAGGGTCCCGGGCTGCTGCGGCCGAGTTGGGGGCAGGGGTCGGGGTTCCTCTCCAGGTGCTGGCGGTACCTGCGAGCGGATGCGCTGGGTGGCAGCGGGGACTTGGACGGCGGCGGCAACTCCCGCACCAGATCCACAGCCACCTCGGCGAAGAGACTCCAAGACTGAAAGGAGCGTCCGCGGGTGCAGGGAGGGCCGGAGGCCCAGCCACTCAGCTCCGTTTGGCGGTTGCTAGGAGATGCGAGGGCCTGCGGCCTGGGGGCGGGGCTCCGCGGGGCGGGGCTTTCCCCCTCAGCCACTGCGCGCAGTCTGTCAAATGGCTACATCCACGTTCAGAAACCAGCTGCCTTCATTCATTCAATCATTCATTCACTCTTTAAGGAGTTTCTACTCTGAACGTCAGCACCTACTATAAGCCTGGCCCTTGCCCGTACGATGGGGGAGAGGGGTTGATGGCTTCTCCCTCCCCCTCCATCAGCTCCCACCTCCCATTCTTTAATAAAAGCAAAGGAAGCTGTGGGCTCTGCAAACTCAGACCTCCCCACGATCTGTCTCATTAGATTCCCTGCTTCTGTCGCTGATGTCCTTAAAATAGCATGAGAATTCTGGTTAGTGATTATGAGCGCCAACTCAGAGATGAGAAAACAAAGCTTAGAGAGGTGAAGCGATTCGCCTGAGGTCACACAGCAAGTAGGGCGCAGCACTGTGTTGAAATCCGGACTGCCTGACTCCAAAGCCTCCGCTCGTCTGCTAAACCACCCAAGCTGAGAGCCCTGGCTGCCGCTCCTAATATAGAAGACCTCAGCACAGCAAGCCGCTGGGGTGGAGGGCTGCGGTAGGCTTCATGGAGGAGGTGAGCAAAGCCAAATCTGGGGGGTGACTAGGCAGAGGCGGTGAAAGCAAGAAAAAGCACTCCAGGTAGAGGAACAGCATATGCAAAGGCCCATAGAGGTGAAAGGGCATGGCAAGTTTCAGGAAAGGATGGTGAGGCTGAGGTGAAAGGGCATGGCAAGTTTCAGGAATGGATGGTGAGGCTGCAGCAGCGTGCGCGGCCCATGGTACATAGCCCCAAAGGGCAGGTAGGGCACAGGACTATGGGCAATGGGAAGCCAAGGCAGGTCTTCTGTTGAGGGAGGGTATCCCGCTCTGGCAGTCAGTTTGTTCAAGAGAATGAGAGCTGAGGCTACACACACGCTTGGCTATTAAGAAAACTTTAGCTCTGAGTTGAGCTATGACCTACTTTGTGTCAAAGAGCAAAACTGTGGCAGAGCTGGGGCTGAGACCCAAGTCCTGAGCCTCCTAGTGCATGCCTCCCCAGACTGCTCTCAGGGCATGGGACAGCCCCTTTAATACTGGGCGCTCCAATACTCCTCGAGTTCAGTTAGTCTAAAAAACAGCCTCAAGTACAGCTGTGAGGGGAGACACCAAATGGCAGTGGGCCCTGTGAGGAGGGGGTTCAAACTCTCAGCATGACAGCCACAACCACCTGCCCACACCCCACCTGCAGCAGCCTGGAGACTGCTGTCTATATGCTAGGAAGTGCTCAGGAGACACACAAAGGGCTGGAAGAATACAAAGCTACTCAGATACACCAGCCCCCAAAAGGGCCCTTTAACAAGGGCAGTTCAACACCACCATCACCCTTGGACAGATATCAGGCCTCCTGCTCCCCAGGTCCTACCCACTGGCCTGAGGCTGGTTTCCCTCCAAAGGTTCCTTGATCACATCACCACCTAGGGCAGAGGCCAATCTCTCCCCAAGTTCAGTAGTGAGAGGCCAGAGGTCTTGGACCAAGGACCAATGTGCCATCCTGGATGTGCACTGGAAACACCTACATGTCAAAAATACAATTCTGAGGCTTCATTAAAGACCTGTGGAAGTCACTCTCCAGAGGTGGGGCTTAAGAACCAGTGACAGATTGTATTTTCCAAAGACAGCCACCTCAAAAGATCCCCTCCCACATAATCTTCTGGCAGGCATCCTGGGGTTCACATTCCTCCCACCCAGTGGGGGCGGGGGGGGGTCTAGACCCCTCCCCTGGAAACTGGGCAGACCTTTGTGACCTGCTTCAGTCAAAAGAGAGAGAGGAAATGACACTATGTGATTTCTGAGGCCAGGTCATACAAATTCCATCTACCTCTGCCCTGTTCTTTTGAGGTATAGTATTCATGCTAGGAATCCAGCTACCATGTTGTGAGGAAGCCCAAGTAGCCATGTGAAATGGCCACATGAAGCTGTTGTGACTGATGGTTCCCAGCCAATTGCCAGCCTCAACTCCCAGACATATGAGAGTGCAAGAATTCAAATGATCCCAGCCTTTAGTCTTTGAGACACCCTGGCTGACACTAAGAAACAGAAACAAGCTGTCTCCATCATGAGAAATTGCAGATTTATAAGCAAAGTAAGTTGTTGCTCTCTTAAACCACTAAGTTCTGGGGTGATTTGTTGTGCAATAAATAATAGGAACAGGAGCCATATTTTTAAATTACCATCAAGATTGTATTACACAACCAGAATATGGAGCCACTGCCCTGAGAGAGGTGGTGTCTGGGTCAAGACCTAGAGCATCACAGGATGAAGTCAGGGCAAAGGTGTGCCACCCACTACTCAGGTGTGAGAGAGTGGTGTGTCTACAACCCCACCTCAGTGAAGATGGCTTCAGGGCTGGCAGATCAGAAGCAAAGGAAAGGGGTCTTCTGTTTCAATTATCTGTTACTGAGTAAAAACCATCCCCAAACTTAATGGCATCAAACAACAAACACTTGTTATTTCTCACCACTCCATGTATCAGCTGGGTAGTTCTCTGCTGGCCTCGCCTGGGCTCACTCCCTGTGCTGTGCTCAGCTGGAGGACCAACATGGCTGAAAGGTGCCAGAAGGCCTCACTTGCATGTCTGGAAGTTGCTGCTGGCTCTCCGCAGGCCGGCTGGTTCCCCTCCATGGGCTCCCCCGCCCCCAATGGTACACCAGCTTCCTTCCAGGTGGCACCTCATCTCCCCGTAGCCTGGCCTGGCTTCCTCAGATGGCATTCTCAGAGCAGGGATCCCAGAGGGCACAGAAGAAGCTGCAAGACCTCTTGGGACCTAGGCGTGGAACCAGCACCATGTCACTCTGCTACATGCCATTAACCAAAGGAAGTCATGAGGCTGGCCCCACTTCAAGGGGATGAAGACATGGACTGTACCTCTGGTAAGCAGAGGGGCAAACATCCAGGGGTGGGAGGTGTTCAAGGTCACTGAACAATCCATCCCTGCTTCCTTACTCCGCTGGGTGGGGGGTTCCCAAGCTCCCACAGGTTATGTCGAGGCCTTCCTGAAGTTATCCCAAGACTCTGGCAGCTGGAAGCATATTGGGAATCAGCTACATCCATCTTCTTCTTGCCCCTTCCCCATTTTTAACAGCTTTATTGAAGTATTTTTTATTTCACAAAATCCATCCATTTCAAGCATAGAATTCAATGATTTTCAGTAATTTTCAGTAACCAAGTGGTGTGATCACCATCATAAATTCATTTTAGAACATTTTCATCCCCCTAATAAGACTTCATGCACATTTATAATTAATCTCTGTTCCAACTCCCAGTCCTAGGCAACCAATATCTACTTTATCTCTAAAACTTTGCCTTTTCTAGACATTTCCTATAAATTGAGTCAGACACACTATGTGTTCTGGCTTTGTGATTGGTTTCTTTCACCTACCGTTATGTTTCTGAGGTTTATTTATGTTGAGGCATGTGTCGGTATTTCATTCCTTTTCATGACTGAATAATATTCTATTGTGTGGACAGACCACAGTTTGCCTATCCATTCATCAGTTAATGGGCATTTGGCTTGGGCATTTAGACATTTATGAACAATGTTGCAATGAACATTCCCATGCAAGTCTTTGTGTGGACGTGTTTTCATCTCTCTTGGGTCGATATCTAGGAGTGGAATAGTTGGGTCATATGGTCATTTGGTGATTAACTTCTTGAGAAACTGCCAAACTATCTTCCACAGGGGCTGCATCATTTTATGTTCCCATCAATAACATGAAGTTTCCTGTTTCTCCAAATTCTTGACAAGATTTGTTGCCCGTTTTACTCATTACAGCTATTCTTATGGGTATGATATAGTATTTCATTGTAGTTTTCATGTGCATTTCCCTAACAATTAAGAATACTGAGATTGTTTTATATGCATATTGGCCATTTATACAACTTCTTTGGCGAAATATCTGTTTGTATCTTTCACTCACTTTTGATTGGATTGTTTGTCTTCTTGTTACTTGTTACTTGTTCTTACAAGCCAGAACACACTTGTAAGAGTTCATTGTAAATTCTGAATATAAGTTCTTTACTGGGCATATGTTTTACAAATATTTCCTTCTAGTCTCCTGTTCATCTTATTTTCTTAATAGTATCTTTTGAAGTGTAAATGTTTTGAACTTTGATGAAAGTCCAATTCATCATTTTTTTTCTTTTTTGGACCATGCATTTGGTGTTGTATCTAATAAATCTTTGCCTAACAACAGGCCTATTTTTAATAGAAGTAAAGCTTGGTGTCTGAACACTAAAGCAAATCCACTAACCAAGACTCCTAAAAACCCAAAAGCTTTATGACACTGAAAATAATGGCCCAAGGACATTCCCAGACAATTCTGGGCTCTGGATAGAATAACACAAGTTTCCAAAAAACAGTGTGACAATATCGCGAGTTTATAAAATATGTATACTCCATGGCCCGGTAATAAATCACTCAAGATATGGCACAAACTGTTCACAGTATTGTTTTTGTGGAGAAAAGCTGAAAATTACCTCTGTGGGCATCTGTAGGGGATGACAAAGCACCTTATAGTTCATTCTGAGGGAGCACAGAGCAGCCTCTGGAGCAGTGTCTGCAAAGAAACCACAGTCAAGCTGTTTACAAAGCTCAGTTCCTGTGCAAAGAAAGATCCCAGCGGCGTCCTTTCCACTGTGCTTTTCATGTCAAGTTGAATGAGCTACAATTTGCACACTGTGAAATTCAGATGTGCACAGTCATGCAACCACTATACCATGAAGACAGAGTATTTCAATCACTCCAAAAAGTTCTTTCATGCCCAAATACATAGAAAAGTTTGGAAATAAATACATCAGAAATACACAGTGGTCCCCTCTTGGTGGCAGAATAGTGGATGATTTTTGCTTTTTAGCATTTTCCTGGACCTTTAAAAGACACTTTAAACAATATACTATTTGAAATGGCTCAAACAATACTGAACTGACTTCAGAAAATCATTTCTTTGCCACAGCCCTGACTCTACCCTACACAGACACATGCCCATCCCCCCAGCTCATACAAAAGAGCGCAAAGAGACCTCTGAGTTTGCTCACTTTGAACCTTAAACAAAAACCTTGTGGATGCAACCAGAATTATTTCAGAGGTGCCTGGTAACACCACGGGGCAGACAGACAGGCCTGACAGAAAACCATTATCAACCCTTACTTCCCTGAGCTGTAGGGGAGCAGAGACCGGCAAAGGCTCCCAGCAAGACATTTAAAAGCTTTCTTTTCAATATTGACTGGCCCAGGAAAGCTACTGTTCAAAGGATTCCTTTACCAGCTGCAGGGATGTAGGGGGCGGGGAGGGTGTTGCACTCTTGCCTGGGCTACCAGCCCTCAGCACTGACATGAAATAAAATCAGGTTCTTTTTGTTGTTGTTGTTGTTTTGAGACGGAGTCTCACTTTGTCACCCAGGCTGGAGTGCAATGACAGGATCTCAGTTAACTGCAACCTCCGCCTCCCGGGTTCAAATGATTCTCCTGCCTCAGCCTCCCAAGTAGCTGGGATTACAGGCGCCTGCCACCATGCCCAGCTAATTTTTTGTATTTTTAGTAGAGAAGGGGTTTCACTATGTTGGCCAGGCTGGTCTCGAACACTTGACCTCAGGCAGTCCACCCGCTTCGGCCTCCCAAAGTGCTGGGATTACAGGCGTGAGCCACCGCACCCGGCCAAGAAAAAGAAACACATGAGAACATCTTATCAAAAGGTAAATACTGCAGTGTTTCCCATCTGCAGAGAAAACCACTGAATCCACTTATGAATCCCTTCCTCTTCTTCTGTGCACTCACATACACATGTCCCAGCAGAAAATAGTATTGTTTTTTGTGTTTTTGTTCTTGTTATGCAAGCATCAGTGTTGTGCATAATCAGCTTGTGCCTTGCTGTGTCTGCTCATCCTCGTTTGCTGAGTCCTAGCTGATCTGATGGACACCGTGTTGTCTCCAGTTTCTCACTCTAATAAACAATGATGCAGTGAACATCCTGTGCACAGTGGCTTTCTAAGGTAGAAGCCAAGAAGTGGATGTGATGTAAAAACTTTGTCAAATTGCCATTACTTTTATAATTAAAAACAAACCTAAAACAGTATGTCCAAAATGCTTGGGGAGAAGCCTTTAACTCCTTCCCAGCAGAGATGTACTCTGGGCAAAGCCTTCAAGAACAAGTACGAATTTGCCAAATGGACAAAGTGCTGATTCTGGGATACTGCGGCAGAGGAGACAGAATGCTATCGCTTTTCAAACGGCAAGATTTTACATTTAAACTCACAGAGTTATCCACAAGGCAAGATTCTGTCACTGTTATAGCTAGGAACAGCTGAAGAGTCTGCCTCTTGCTCCAACGTGGCTGGATACCGTGGCTGGATAACCGTTCCCGGTGCAGGTAACAGGTGAACAATATCACAATATCACTGCACGCCTCTCGTGAAAAAGAAAGCGAACACAGTCCAGTACTCACCAGAGAAGCAGGTTTTTCTTCATCTTCCAGAAATGTGTTCTAAAACATCAGCCAATCATCAACCTGTTAACCTAACCCCAGCTCAGAGATGGAACTCGGATCCCATTGCCAAGTCAGCACCCTCAGGCACAAAGGTGGCAGGGGCGGGAGACACCACTTTCCCGAGAATCCTATCCCCACCCCCAACAGGGATCTGGACAGAGCAGTTAGCACAGATCAGCTTCTGACCAGCGGGGTGCCCCTAACCTAGACCCCTTGCCTCTCCAAGCCTGTTTCCCTCTCTTTCCCAGTTACTACTTGGGGCTTTTTGCAAGGTCTATGGTGGCACAAGTGCTCGGAAACCTGGTAGCTGAATTTAAGCGGAGGGGAGACTTTTCCGCACCCACAGCTACAGGGCGGCGACAGCAGGCTTGCCAGGCAACCCTCGAAAGGCCTTCCGGGAAGAGGGGGAAGAGTGACGCTTGGGTGTGGGGGGCACATACCCAGCAACCGGACGAGGCCGCCACCCCCAAGGCCCTCCTGGGCTTCGGATCCCGCGCCAACCCCTCGCCCAGGTCTCGGGGCGAACTCTCCGCGCCAGGCGGGCGGGGCGAAAGGAGGAGGGAGTTGAGAGTGGACGGCCGGGAGGGGGAGGAAAAGCGCAGACGCCAGGAACGCCCCGGGAGTGAGGAGAGGAGAGCGCCGGAGTCACGCGGAGAAGCCAAACTCGGACGCCGACCGGGCACTGGTGGCGCTGCGGGGGTCCCGGGGGGCTCCTGGACCTCCTACCCCAGACCCCGCCAAAGCAACTGGGGTAAACCAGACGCCCTGTGAGGCCAGCGCAGCTGCTGGACACGGTCCCCGGCGCCGCTCCAACCAGATCGCGACCGCTAAGCCCCTCCTTTCAAGAAACTCTAGGGCCGCCCCTGGAAGTGGCGGGGCGAAGGGACCGGAGGAGGGACCGGAGGAGC